ATAGAGAAGGCGTGAACATAGGGTCATTTCCTAAACAATCTGAAAATTTCTAATTGGACATTGACTGATAATAGGGGGTGGCCAGGGGAAAAGGGAGAACTTAATTGTATCTTTTTCGCACCAAGCTGACAGATTCTGCCTTGCTACTTCTGTATTCGCTTTTGTTCTCAGTAAAGTATATTCTTGGGAAAACAATGAGCCAGAAGTCTTTCTTTGTTAATTAACTTAAGTGAGATGGATCACATTTGGCAAAATCTGCAGTAAGGACCTGCCTGGAGAATAACTTTACCGAGATGGTTACACAAACAATGCCCATCCAGAGAAGGAACCATAGCAGAGGAAGAAAATTGGGACAAGGCAGAGCGTGAAGCTCTAAGGACCCCACAGGGAGCCCAGACAGTCTGCCCAAAGGTGGCAGGGGAGTGGCCTGGGGTTCCAATGGCCATACTGGAGGAACAACCGGGAGAAATACCACACGGCCCAAAAAGTCGATGGTCCTGGAGAGTTGGACATTTGGGAGAAGAGGAAGATCCTTCCACAGGGATAAACGTTGTAAGGAGAAACCGCTGGAAAGCCCAATGCTGATTGGAGAACTCCAAATGCCTTCCAGCCCAACAGCAGAGCAGCTAAGAGAGAAATTGCAGGCACTGGAAGTATCAAACCCTCCAGCACAGGGAACCGCCCAATGCGACCAGGCTCTACAGGCATGCCTCCCGCAGCCCCTACTGTGCCTGCGATCCCTCCGATGGCTCTACCAGCTGTCTCAGCAGCCACCATCCCTACAGCCACCCTGAAAATGGCTGGCATGCCAGCACAAGCCCCACCCCTGGGCCAGGGAGATTGCCCACCACCACTATTGACAGTTATGTTTGATGGGAGCCCAAAGTGCCTGGCTCATTTCCTAATCCAAGTCTGGCATTACATGGAATGTTATGGGGCCGCGCTGCCCAGATGATGCCATCTACGTTGACTCTGTGGCCCTGACCCTAGATGGCGACACAGCATAGTGGCTGGTGGCCTTCCATGATGATGATGCAACCGAATTGGAGCACTTCGACACCTTCATGTGGGCCTTACAGAGATAGTTTACATGAACTGGCAAGCTGAGACCCCAATTCGAAACATCAAGTAAAGAAAGTGGCCAGTGGCGGAGTATATCCAGGAGTTCCACAGGCTAGCCAGCCGGCTAGGAGAGCAGCTCCAACAATTGCTGATAATCCATTTATGAGTGGGTTTGAATAAGGAGCTATACTACACTTGCCGGTCCCGAGTGGCTCCATGAATCCTCCATGGTTGGTACCTGCTAGTCAGTGAAGTAGAAATCGACCTAGCCGAATTTCACAAGCATATAGGGAGAGACAGCCAAGGACCTCAGGGTCCACCAACCCTCAGGGTCTACCAAAGAAAGGGAAGTCTCCATCTAAGCTGAAAGGAGGAGGCTGAAAAAGAGTGGAGGTCGTAGAGTTCTCCCTTTCCTCCAGCAATGGAGAGGGAACTCTGATCCAGAAGCTTCTGGCTGCCCTCAAGAGCAATAGTGAGGGGGACCCGATGGTAAGTGGCACCATCATCCCTGTAAAGGCCAGGGTAGAAATAACAGTGGCTTCCTCAGGACGCAAGGGGCTCCTGATGGTTCTGCTAGACTCTGGATGCATCCAATGCCTCATTAGTCCTGGTGTGGTGAGGAAGCTAGGGATGAGGCTGAGAGAGCTAAAGACCCCTATAGCCTTTTCCCAGTTGGACGAGACAATAGCAGGGGGAGTGCCAGCCACGTTCCTCACTGAACAGGTGGAGCTGAAGATAGAGACCCACAAAGAAAACATCTGATTCATTGTGGTACCAGGGATGACTGAAACTATGATGTTGGGTCTTGCCTGGCTGAAAAAAATGGAATCCCTCTATAGACTGGGAGCATAATTGGCTGAAAGTATGAAAGAAACTCTCCAGCCAAGAGGCAGTTGTAAAAGTAGTGAAAAGCTACCACGAGTCTGCAATTAGAAAAGTGAAAGAGAAAGTCCAAGGACAGTCCAGGTGAGGGAGGGACCAAATTTGTTGATCCCCAGGGAATATAGGGATTTAGATGACGTATTCAGTAAAAAGGACTCTGACATGCTTCCGCCCCATGGATTATGCAATTGAAATATCCTAGGGGCTAAGCTACCAAAGCCCAAAATGTGCTCAATGACACCTTGGGAATTGGAAGAATTCAGGGCATTTGTGGACAAAAATCTGGCCAGGAGCTTCATCAAACCAGCAAAGTTGCGAATAGCTGTCCCTGTGTTATTCCAGGAGAAAAAAGATGGCTCGTTTAGATTATGCATTGATTACAGGGAGCTAAATGCAGTGATGTGGCAGTGGGGGGGTCCTCCTTCAGAAAAACTTAAAAGGGTACTTACAGCCATGTGTCTAGATCTCAAGGAAGCTCTTCAAGGAAGAAAGATGTTGGGCAATACAGGAGATGGCATTTGTGGTTTGTGGGCACTCCTCATCTGAAGGCAATTCCTTGAAGGTGGCAAAATCCCTTTTGAGGCAGTGAAAGTGCTGAAAATACCCAGGAGGCTATCTCCCAAACAAGTCCATTGGGCTCAATATTTCAGTTGATTTAATTTCACACTTCAGTACCTGATCAGAGGCAAAAACGTCCTGGTGGATGCCCTATCCAGAATGCCCCAAAACAACTGTGCAAAGGAGGAGGTAGTCATCTCCCATTATCCTAAACAAGCAAATAGTGGCCCTAACTCTCACTCAGCAACAGAGGCCCCCAAAGAGCAAATTGTGGATGATCTAATGCAGGTGCTAAAAACTGCCTTGGCGCAGGATGATTGGCTCTAACAAAACAAGGAGGACCTATCATTCCAGGACAGATTGGCTTGGATGGGGAGCTGGCTATATGTGCCTGCGAGCCAACAGACCCTGATCCTTCAGAAAAGTCATGATTCCAAAACTGCGGGGCATTTTGGCTTTGTGAAAACTCCCCATCAGGTGAAGCAGCAATTTTGGTGGCCACACATGAAAAAGAACATTGAACATTATGTGGCCAATTACTCAGTGTGCACCTCAGTGGAAAGGCGCCCAGGGAAGACTCTGGTTCTGTTGCAACCTGTAGCCAGCCCAACCGCCCCTTAGAAGGAGATCTCAGTGTAGAGTTATTGTAGAGTTACCGGATAGCACTGGGAATACAGTGATTTGAGATTGTCACAGATCTTTTCTCCAAATAAGCTCACTTTGTGGCCTACTCCAAAATTCCATCTGCTCAAACCCTGGTGAAGATATTCATTCAACACATCTACCTACTGCATGAGGCACCTGAACACATCATCTCAGACCGTGGTGTCCAATTTACCTCTAGCTTCTGGCAGGAATTCCTAAAGATGTTGGGCACCTCCCAGGGGTTAAGCTCCTCCACCACCACTCCCAGACCAATGGAGGCTGTGAAAGAGCTAAGGGTGTATTGAAGCAGCAACTCTGTTGCTATGTGAACTACCAGCAAGACAATTGGGCCAAACTCTTGCTCTTCACAGAAGTTGCCTATAATAACTCATTGCACAGCAGCACTGGTTTCACTCCTTTCCAGGTGACGAAAGGCTTGGACCTTGTTCCTATGCCAGAGCTGCCTCAGCACAGACCCCTGCACGTCATTAGCTAAGTGCAACAAGACTCTGCAGAATACTTGGCTCGTTGTCTGCAAAACATTAGATGAGGAAAGGGAAGTATATAAGAAACAACCTGACAAGAAGAGGGCAACCCAAAGAGTTTAAAGTATAAGGTTTACTGCTCCACTAAGTTCCTGCAGCCATGACAACCCTGCAGAAAACTGATCCAAAATATGTAGGGCCTTTCCCCATCACCAGAGTCATAAACAGGTGATGGCTGAATTAAAACTGCCCCAAAAACCTAAGCACATTCATCCTGCTTTCTACTATAGTCTAATGAAGCCTGTTTAGTTTGCCCTTGTGGCCTGACACAAAACCACCTCCACTTCCAATTATGATAGAAAGGGAACAACATTTTGAGGTTAAATAAATCCTAGATTCTAAATTCCATATGGGGAGGATACAGTACCTTATTCTGTGAAAGGATTTCCTTCCCTCAGAGGTTGAGTGGGTTGAGGCTAGCCATGTTCACTCCCCCTTTTAATCTACCAGTTTCATAACAAATATCTCCATAAGTCTAAATGAGACCTCGTGATTTATGCTGTAACTAATGTGTTTCCTATGTTTTATTTTGTAGGCATAGTCGTTTTCTGGAGGGGCAGCATGGTTGTCATTCTGCTTCTAGCTTCACATTGCATCTTGCCAGCTTGACATTAGCAATGTGAGTAGAGGGGGAGAGAAAAGAGATTGGAATGTGGTTGGACAAAAATGGGGGTGGGAGATTGGGAATGAAACTTTGCCAGCCCTGAAAGTGAGTTACATCAATTCAGCACAAGGTCAGCCAAAAGAATGTGGAGATGGAGAAGGCACGAACACTAAGTCCATTTCCTAAACAATCTGAGAACTTCTAATTGGACATTGACATTGACAAGGGGTGGCTAGGGGAAAAGGGGAACTTAACTTCATCTTTTTCGTGCTAAACTGACAGATTTGCCTTGCTACTTTTGTATTCGCTTTTGTTCTTAGTTTTGTTTTTAATTGGAAAAACAATTTCTTTCTAATTAACTTAAGTGAGATGGATGACACTGTTAAGGATGACAATGAGAATTTTAATAGTATGTAGTTCTCTAACTTTAAATAGAATCTTGAACACATTTTCTTTTGACATTAGCAAACTATCTTACGAAAGTGGTATATTTTGTTACTTGTTGTTCCCTTCATTTTGTAAATAAGAAAGTGTTTTTTTATTAAACTATTGGTAGGAGTTCCAAAGCATTCTCACATTTCAAATTGGTTCACTTCATTTAAAAAAATGGACACTGTTTAAATATTAGCAAATTAATGGCTAAATGAACATTTGTTTTAATCAAAAGCTTGTAGGAACTGAAACAAAGAGGAAAATACACTAACCTGCACAAAGAAGTATTTGCTTTGGAACAGCAGTGCAACTTAGCACTATCGAGAACTGTTGAAGGTGGTGGATGCAGTGTCACTCCAGGATGAACAGATCTTGAGCTCTCCAAGAAACATTGCCAAAGAGGATCCTGTGGAAGAGGCATTGTTTTACAGCTTTCAATAAGTCCATCCACAATTTCATGTTCCGTTTTCATTGATATTAGTATCCTTTTACAAGCTGTTTGGCAAACATAATCTTCTGCTCTATCACAACAGTATAAACCTATATAGGAAAAAAAACAAATATTGTTAGTTGTCACCTCTGTGCATATATGAACCTCTGGTTTAGCATGTAAGCATGAGTAGTCATATCTTTCTCTTCTACTGTTTATCTTCTTAATCTACATTATATTCTTGCTATGGGTTCACTACTTCATTAATTTAATACAAATTGTTTATGCCTTGTTTTCATTGAGTGTATGTATGTATGTCTATACTCAAGTAAGAAAGCACCAGCTTTATCCTTCTGAGCAGAAATAATTTCTATTGTCTTTACTGAAAGTTTTTTTTTCTCAAGTAGACTCTGAAGCCTACTCAGAAATCTATTTCCTATCTTCAGTCAGTTGTTGCAATGAAGGAGAAATGAAGTCAACAAACTTCAGGATGGGTGCAGGCATTAGAAACTGCAATGCTGGCAAAACATAAAGTTCTTTGGTCTTGAATTACTGCTTTGAATTTCAAATATAAAGGATTTTTTTTCAGATGCCTTCCTGAAATCCACACGTTTCTTGAGTTTGTCAGTACTGAATTTTTGATTCTGAAGAGCACTTTAAAAGATATAGTTTTAGAAGATACTAATTGGAATTTTATTTCTTAAAGTTTGTGAAGATCTGGGTTTTTACTTATAAAAAAGAACCAAACTGAAAAGATTATGAAAACATTGGATTCAAAAGAAAACTTTAAATTAGAGGCAACATCTTGTGGCTAAACCTGATATTACAATTTGTTATTGTTTAAAAGAGACTTGGCCAGCAGCCCAGACAATAGATAAGACCTATGTATTGTGGGCACATTTAAAAATGCAAAGTAGATATGAAAAAGACGTTAAACTATTTGGTTTTCACAAAGAACAAACTGTATTTGATAAGATTTTTGTTAACTTCAGATGAGAAACTAATCAAGAAAATGTATAATTTCTTGTTAATTCTGGAAATGGAAAGCGAACAAGTTAAAGAAACAATTATAAGATGGCCGAAAAATTTTGGGTATAATAGAGAACTAGAAAAATGGCAAAAGTTATGAGAAAGAAATTACAAACTGACAATATCAACTTCGTATAAAGAAAATTTATATAAAATGTTTTATAGATGGTACTTGCCACCAGTAAGATTAGCAAAAATGTTCTAAAATATGTCAGATAGATGTTGGAAATATAAACATAATTCAGGCACGTATTATCATGTCTGGTGGACATGTGATAAAGCAAAGAGCTATTGAAAAAAGATACATACTTGGTTAGAAAAGATATTGGGAGAACATGTAGACTTTAAACCTGAACTTTTCTTACTAGGTATAATGCCAGAAAATATTAACAAACAAAGCCTATATTTGATTTTACACGTCACAACAGCTGCAAGAATAATGTTTGCGCAATATTGGAAAAATGAAGGTATACCACCAGAGGAAGAAATAATTAAAAAAATACTGGAATGTGCAAAGATGGACAGATTGACTATGAGGTTGAAAGAAAAAGAAGAAACAGAACATTATCACATTTGGGACTTATTCTATCAATGGCTAGAGGAAAGAATGAAGGATTAGGAATTAAATATGTATTAGCGTTTTTAAACCCAGATAGCACGTTGGTTGAAAAATTATTACATGTATGTAAGAAAAAATCAATAAAATCTTATATATATAAAAAAAATAGATAAGACCTATGTAACCTTGAGACATTAGCTGTGAGAAGCCCAGCTGCGTTCCATACTCAGTGACCAAAAAAATTTTCCCTGCATTCTCTGATTGTAAAGCTTTTAACTTAATACACTACTAAGATAATATGGATGAAGACCAGGAACAGAGTCTCTTTATGTTGAAAGCAATTCATTAAACTATTCTAACAGCTACAAATGAAATAAGACAGACATGTCAAACACAAGGCCTGCGGGCCGGATCCGGCCCGATATGTGGTTCCGTCCGGCCCAGGGACCTGCTCTGGAAAGAGCGAAGAACTGGCGTGCCGCATCTCGGCCCAGCCCAGGCCGACTGGGCGCTGATCTACAACCTGGTTGCGTCCATCAAAGCCAGAACGCGCTCAGCCTTAAATTCACGGGGCAGCCCCGCCCTGCCCCCTGGTGTGCGCGCAAGTGGAGTCCGGCATCCCTGCTGGCTGTCTTGCCCTGCAGGCTGACTTCACCCAGGACGCCGGCGCTGGCGTCTCCTGTGTGCACACTTGGGGGGCAGGACAGAGGCGGCGGGGCAGCTGCTTGCTGGTTCCAGTGGATCTTAGGCTGAGCACGTTCTGGCTTTGATGGAACCAGGTTGTAGATCAGCGCCACACACACCCCCACCAGTACTTCCAGCCTTGCAGCCATGAGGCATCCCTTTCAACGGGACTGCCCCTGCCCGCCCACATGGTATAGGAATGGCCAGCAGCAGCATGTTAGTGCTGACAATCTCTCCCCCTCCCATCACCCCTTCCTGAGTGTGGGGGAAGGAAAGATAAGAAGGTGAAGGATGGAATGGAGGGAGGAAGGAAGGAAGGAATGGAGGAAGCAATGGAGCAACGGAGAGTGGGAGGAACGGAGGGTGGGAGGAACGGAGGGAAAAAAGGGAGACGAAGTAACAGAGGAAGGAAGGAATGGAGGGAGAAAGGAAAGAAGGAAGGAACAGAGGGAGGAAGGAACAGAGGGTAGGAGGGAGGGAGGGAGGAACAGAAGAAGGAAGTAAGGGAGGAAGGAAAGAACAGGGAGGGAGGAACGGAGGGTAGGAGGGCGGGAGGAAGGAAGGAAGGAACAGAGGAAGGAAGGGAGGGTGGGAAGGAGGAAGGAAGGAATGGAGGGTGGTATGGAAGAAGGAAGGAAGAGGAAGGGAGGAAGGAAAGAAGAGAGGGAGGAAGGAACGGAGGGTGGGAGGGAAGGAGGAAGGAAGGAACAGAGAAAGGAAGGAAGGGAGCAAAGAAAGAACAGGGAGGAAATTATCAAATTATCATAAAAGGGAAAAGATAAAGAAGTTGAAACAGCTGCTAGACATTGTGGGGGTGGACATTGGCTAACTGTTATTAACTATAGCCTCCACTAAAAGATTAAAGGACTGCTTTTAACTACTACTGAAATGGAGAAATCCTATTTACAACTTAACTGTAAACTTATACTGGAAAAAATTCATGAAGCCATTGAGCAAGTATGTGCCAAAATAAAAGAGACTATTATAGAAATAAAAGTCAAAAACCCTACTTCAAATCTGCAAACTGACCTCCAGATTTCAACTGACTACTTTACAGGCCAAAAAACAACAGAAGAGGAACCAATCAACACAAAGAGGATTTTATACCATCCAATATACAACCCACTGAGATTTTTGATGATCAAAAAGTAATTTTAACTAAACCATATACAACTCCAAAAGCAACAGGAATTGATGTACAAATACGATTTATTGAGAACTACGACAACTTTGATAACCAACCATTAATCACAACATTGGACACAACTGAGTGTGCTACTCAGCTGAATCAAACATCGAGATTTGAATTTTTAAAGCAACAAGGGATTAGTCACAAAGGAGTCAGGGTCCTAAAACAAAGGATGGGACGTTCTCCCTTGACCCAAATGATATCACGAGGAATAAAGGGAGACTTATTTGTTGATATAGAGGCTCTGTTATGGAAACCTGCTTGGCACAAAAAGAAAGCTAGAATAAGACTTAAAAATGAGACTTAAAATTGTATGTAATGGGTTAAAAAGGCCTTTCAGAGGCACGGATTGACTTAAGGTTTAAGACTCAGACTTATAAGCGAGAGGAAAATTGTTGGTTAATAGAATATATATGTGAAATAGAGTAAATGTATTTTTTTGAAATAATATCCTTATTTTATGTATGATAACCACCTTGTAATGGAATGAGAATAAGAAAATGGATTGTGATAATAGAAGACATGGTATTAGTAAATGAGGAGCTAGCAGAATAAGAATAGAATATGTTTAGGAAATATACAATGTAATTGTTGGAACAATGTTTATTTTTAGATACTATAATTATTATGTTATGAAAAGAAATAAATTAGGGATACCCGAAGTATAAACAATATATTCATTTACGGCTAAATTGAAATATGGCAATTGGAATTTTGTAAAGCTTAAATACAGGATTGGGATTTGTATAGTTAAAATGTTATTGATAATTTTATTGATTGATTGAATTTCACTAGAAATGTATTAATCTGAATATGGTATATTATTTGAGGGAACTAGAGAGGGAATTTTTAACGAGTTAAACTGAGCTATATACAAATGACTTTGTTTTGGGATAATTGATTACCCCATCACCACGCTGTTTCCTAAGCACCTTGATGTAAAAACTGAAAAAACTCAATAAAACTTGTATTAAAAAGAAAGAAAGAAAGAAAGAAAGAAAGAAAGAAAGAAAGAAAGAAAGAAAGAACAGGGAGGAAGGAAGGAACGGAGGGTGGGAGGGAAGGAGGAAGGAAGGAACAGTGGAAGGAAGGAAGGGAGGAAAGAAAGAACAGAGGAAGAAATGGAGGATGGTAGGGAGGAAGGAAAAAAGGAACAGAGGAAGGAAGGAAGGGAGGATGGGAGGGACCATGTCCTGGTGCTCACCCCGGTCCCACCCTCCTCCGCCGGAGATACTCAGATCTGCCCCAGTCCTGCCCAGGCATCCCTGAAGCAAGTGATGTCGATCGCCCACCCAGCAGGCCACGCCCACCCTGGCCACACCCACCCAGTAGGCCACACCCATCCCGGCCACACCCGCCCTGCCCCCAGAGGGCAACCACAATGCTGATGTGGCCCTCAATGAAATTGAGTTTGACACCCCTGAAATAAGAGGTTACAGAAAAGAACAAGATGCCAGCCCAGAGATACAAACTCAAATTTTGACTACAGCTAAAAAATTAACTATGCAGAATATAACAGAAAAAGTGGAACAATTAAATATTATGACAGAAGATTCAACTGATCAACAAATACAGTCAATGGAAAATCCAGAAAAGGGACTAACAATATGGAAAAGGGAAAAGACTTTCTACATAAATCAGAAGAAACC